GGGGGGGGCTGAGATGGGATGGAGGTTTTTCACAGTACACCCTCCTTTCCTATCTTTCAAATTCTAAATCATTAAATCATATTACATATCCAAAAAAGTTTAATTAAACAAATCTGAAAAGCATGAAAACAAGTAATACAGACAACCCAACTCACTAGGTCCTCACTCGTTCGGAGCAGGTTTTTTCAGTGTCCTTATCTGTCCTTCTGACCCCAGCAGTGTTCACACACCAGCACGTGGTGGTGCCATTGCACTGCTTGGCTTTAAAGTGCCCGTTGTCATCACAGTCGGGATCATAGAGTCCGTCATTATTCTGAATAGCATCTTCAGGTTTCGGTCTTCTCCCGGACTTTGAGTGAGACATTTCTGCCTTCATCACCAAACATTTGGTAGCCACTACAAAAAAAGCTTCATGTCATGCTGGAAAACTAACCACAGTTTTATTCTTTTTTTAATATATCTTTATTGATTTCAGAGAGAGCAAGGGAGAATGAGAGGGAGAGAGAAACATCAATGATGAGAGAATCATTGATCGGCTGCCTCCTGCATGCCCGACTGGGGATCAAGCCCACAACCCCGGCATGTGCCCTGACCAGGAATCAAACCGTGATCTCCTGGATTCTAGGGCGATGCTCAACTGCTGAGCCACACTGTCCGGGCTAACAATTTTATTATTAAAGAAATTTTAATTTATCTCCAAACTCTGAGGGCCAAAGATTATTGTAGACTTACATGTTCCCCGCTCACTCTTTTATTTCTCACCCAAGGATATTTTTTCATTGCTTTTCAGAGAGAGTGGAAGGGGGACAGAGAGAGATAGAAACATCGATGTGAGAGAGACACATCAATTGGTTGCCTCCCGGGCCATGGATCGAGCCTGCAACCAAGGTATGTGCCCTTGGCCAGAACTGTACCCAAGACCCTGCAGTCTGCTGGCTGATGCTCTAACCACTGAACCAAACTGGATGGGGCCCCACTCACTTTCTAAAGATAAGAATCTTTCAGGTATGAGATAATTGACAAAATGATTCAGTTTTGAGCCAATAAAAGGCTTCCCAATTCAAAACACACCTATTAAAGAAATATAAGTCAAAGTAAAGTTTAAAGGCATTGAAGATATTCTACTCACATTTTGAGCAAATGACGGAACTTTGTGTACCAATTGAAGTACACCGGCATTCACCATTCTCCATTAAAGAGCAGTTTGTGGTCAGTTTGTATTTTTCACAGACACATTCTAGAGGGGGAAAAAATTCACTTTTAAATGTGAATCTTATCAACAACTCTGGTGTCCCAGCTAAATTATGTTGTGACAATATTACCCAAGTTACAGGGTCACAAAGCTTAAAAAGTGGTCCTGAATGTTTTATTTTTCAGCTATAATGGTAGTGCCTGACATAATTTGTATATATTATGTAGACATACAGTCTAATTTGCACACATTCCTGTTTTGATTTTTTTAAACCAAGACTACAGCCCTCCAAGCATCACATTTAGCTTGGCCTTTATGATAGTCCCGGTGTCAGCTCCTTCCCTCCTTCCTGTCCTACTAGGATAAATCCTTGCCTGTCAGCTACTGACTCTTCCAAAAATCAACAATTCCATTCCCTTCCACCCTCCCCCTTGATTTTCTTATTAAGAGATGCTTGCTTTGGGGCTTAACGGAAACATATTCAGCCCTTGGACTATATTTTATCTTAGAAAAGTTATACTTTCAGTTGAATTTGGGAGCACCTAACTAAATTAAATGTGGGTTTACTAACTTAATTAAATCCTGGTACCCAATTTTGCTGCACATCCTGTCAGTTTAATAGTTATATCCTTGACTATCTCTCAAAAGTAAATTTTAACTTCATATTGGCAAGCCCACCTAATTCTTTTGTCTGGCTAATGAGCATGCAATCATTAAAAACAAAAAATAGTATGACAAACCAAAAATTTTTAATATTGATCCTTCATGTCCCAAGTTGGCTTTAATTTTTCCTGCTTAAATTATAATCAACACTTCTATCTCAATATTAAAATCACAAAAGGAGAAAGTATTGTGGCTGTCCTCAAGGGTTAAAATTTTACGCAGCACTACACCTGCATTTTTCACGTCCAAGCAATGTCAAATTTAACACAGACCAAGCAGGCTGCTCTGGCTGTAGAGTAGCCCACTCACTCTCATTGCTTCAACTAATAAACTCTTTTACTTTAAACTCTAAAAAAATAAAACAGACCAATCAGGTATAAACTTTCTGAACACAAGCCTATAGCAGCTATCACCACTTTAAAGTGATTTAAGATTTCCGTATTTAATCCCAGATGTAATCTAGAAAACCATGAGTTGGTTAAACTGCATTATTTTGAGAGTGTAATTAATTAGGCTGAGCCCTGCTGGAGAGGCTATAGAAACCTTTCCAGAAAACTATGGCCAGCTGCCATGCCACCTCGGCCCACCATCTCACAAATGATAGCAGCCAACAGGTTTACCCCAGAATAAGAAAAACTGGTATCAAACTTCATGTCCAGCATTTGGATAACGGTGTGAGCTTCCACGACACAGGCTGTTGACCATTTAAATAGTTTTTCAAGAGTAAAGAAAATGGAAAACTCTGGATGTGATGGGGGGGGGCGCGGAAATCAGATATAAAACTGTTTAGATTTAGGGCAACGTTTAGAGCAATGTTTAAGAGAAAAATACACCCAATTACTGATTATGGGATTCTCTTGGAAGTGGCGGGATTAGGGGGTTTTTACCCTTTAGGTTACCGATATTTCTGGGTTCCCTGCAATAAACTTGGCATTGCATGATCCTCAGAAAAAGGAAACGCCTACGCGCCTCGCGCCCAGGTGAGCGGCCCGGTGGCCTCCCCGCAGCCACCTGTCCCCGCCCGCGC